GATACGACATCGAAAATATGATATAAAATACCAAGCATATATACGAGAATTTCAAGAATTCCCAAATAATATCACGGAAAAAAATGTAAGTGACTTAAGCTAAATAACTCTTTTCAAAGATAAATGGAATCATTTGGCACATTTTTCCACCATAATTTATACAAATGAGTGTGGCACACAAGTTGAATTGAATCAGGCGATTGTCTGATTTAATCCTCTCAATAAATAACTTTTATTTGGGCTACACTACCTCGTCGTTCGCGAAACGGGTTACAGGTTAGCGATTCACGGCGAATTCACATCTAACTGATACGGTTTTAAATATTTTTATGTGTTTGACAGCGTTTTTATATTCATGTTCTCGTCGCTTTTAGCTTTTCACTGTCTAAATCAATTTTCTTCTCTCAAAATTTCTCTCTTATTTCTTGTTGAACAGAGATCTTGAATCTCTTTTAGTGGTAATGGCGTTATATATTTTAATATTCAATTTAGAGCCGATGGCATATTTCACCCGATCACGAGAAACTACAAAATGCACACACTTATAAATACACACAAAATAATCAACATGAAAACCAAAAATTCTACGTTAATATGTAAGATATACGTGTGAATTGTACATATTGAATTTTAAGATCGCTAGTTAAAACGCCATTTGCTGTTATGGTGAAATTGTTATTGACAATTTATTCATGCCAAATAAAATTAACAAGCATGAATAACGTGTGTATTTATAATTTTAAATGCCTTGTACAATATGTGTATTGCCCAAATTAAGTGGTACGATAATTTCAATTAATGCTAAATTATATGCAAAAATTAAGTAAATATTACGCTTCATCATACGATATTTGGATATTCAAAAATGCTGCAAGAATTTTTGATTTCGGAAGCCGAAAATCCATTGATTTATATGGTGAAGTATCAAAATACGCTCTACGGTTAATTGGAATCAATAAAGCCCCGGCGGAAATTGTATTCGATCGTAATTATAGAGGTAATTTCCTCGAACTGTAACTATAACTCGTTAGATTTAAGTGAAAGAAAAAAAAACACGTATAACATTGAAATTTATTGAAGTTCGAGAGTTTCAAATTAATTCCAAGATGTCTACCGATCGAAATCTTTATATAATTTCCAAAGAATTGGGATCAGAAAAGGGGAAACGTCTATCGAAGTTTTGAATCTTCGAATATTTGACGTAATGACTCCAAGAGATGTTGTTGACCATAAAAATATTTATGCTCGAAATAGCAAGGCTGGTCGTTGGTTTAGTTTTTCGTATTGTTTATTCTTTATTGGCCCCCTTTTTTATATACCAATACAAGCATAAATACATTTACGATCCATTTTGATTCGATGTGCCGAAAACATTTTGAATGTGACGGCAAAGTGAAATGCAGTAAAATAACATAATGGTTGTTAAATTCCTTCGAGAAAAAAAATGAAATGGCTTCGAAAGATCTTTGGAAGTTGAAAAGAATTCGTTCAAAATGTTCTAATTGTTTTGTTCTTTAGCACGAAAAGAGTATTGTTACTACAATGTTGCATTCGTTCAGTCGAACACATTTGGATCATTGTTCAAATTAGCTGGCGCATCAAAAGAGTGAAACGAATTGAATGATGGGATTTTGCCCAATTATTTATAATGTTAATGAGGATTCGATTCATTCTCAACGCTTTGATCGCTTGAGATTTTCAAGATATCAAGACCAGAGAAACCACCACATCAAGAAGGTGTTGAATACGTGAAAATGCGTCAAGATGCAGAGCATCTCATGGCATGATTAATTCACCGGCATTTTGAAAAGAATTAATGCATGTCTTATCCACAGTTTTGATTTGAATTGTATTTACCCTTATTAATCAAAATTTGTTTTTTCCTCGTCGTTTTGAAAACCGGTACAGTTTCGATTTTCAAAGAATCAGTGAAGCCGTGTTTAATGCAAACAAACAAACGATAAACGAACGAACGGATGTGCTAAAAAGGTTTTATATTTGTGTTGTCCACAGCAATATTTTGCGACTGAATGGTTAATCCAAAGCAATCGAAATCTGGTCAAAATATTAAAAAAACAATGCCATGCAATTTAAAATATTAAGTCTGAGGAAGTCGAACAATAACAATCACAAAAGAAACAACAAAGGAAGCGTCGGCAAATGTAAGAATTCAGGTAAAAAAAACAGCTCAAAACTAACACGTACGGTAGGACATAAAAATCAACGAGATCGCATCAATATTATTTATGCCTGAAATAGTTTCTTCTTTCATTCCGTTTTGTTGCCATTCGTCTGTGGAATAACAAAACGCAAAAAAAATCGAAATGCGTAGCATTCTACTTTTCGGTAATATTTTTCCATATTATTCATTTCTTTATCGTGATTTATCAGATAGTTCTTTTTTTTTGTTAAAACACTTTATTCTTTTCTTATTGAACATGCATGAATGAATGTAGTTCATCACTAATATTAGTATAAGCGTTTAAAACTCTTTAGTTGTGGTTATTATACGAGAAAATCGAGTGTTACTGTTTATTGTTGATGCAGCAATGGAAGAATCAAAATGGACAAACATAAATATGAAAAGAAAATTTGTCCAGACAAAAGTATACACTTATAGATTCAATTTCACCTGGCTGTTGTAGTTACCGAAAAAAGTCAGGGAAAAATGTGAATTTTTATCACATGTTCTGATTCACAACAGGATAGCATTGATGATAATGACAAATATATATATATATATATACTTTCCTGAATACAAGAAAAAGTCACCAAAAATACAAATGAAATCACTTGAATTCGAAGCACATCATGTAAAAATAAATAGATCCGAAAGATTGAACGAGTAACTGAATAAGAGTCAGACGGACAGACAGAGAAAATGACGATTTACAACAAACTTTGCCGACAGAAACAAACATGCTCTCTATTCATACCAAAGGAATCATCATTTATATATATGTTTTTTTCTCACTGTCTGTTTATTCCGTTCATTTTTTTTCTTCATATTTACTAGTGAAAGATTTTCTATGGGTGAGATTCCATTTATCGTTTGTTTATGTTGTCATGTAAATAGGAAAAAACTAACACACATGACCAAATGTGAAATAATAGCAATAAAAACAAGAATTTAATGATCAGAAACATGATTCGAAGTGAAGATGGGGACGGAATACAAGTCACTTGTAAGTCAATCATATGTTTACACCCGAAAAAACTGGCCATATCGTCGACATTCCCAAAAACCGCATTGCGTGTCAAGTAATAGATTTTAAGTTGAATAATTTTTTATTTCACCTTTCAATATACATGACAGAACATATTTTAATTGGCAGAATTCATCGATTCTTCTTTTAAAAGGCTGACGAATGTGTGTCTTGAAGATTAATCATTTAAACATCGAGAAACTCAAGTTAATAGTGAATCGAACAAAATCTCAGCCTAAAAAATCAATTTCATTTCACACAGACTATGAAATCGATCGACAACAGAGCAAGAATTTCGTTTCCCATTTTTTTTTTTTTTTGCATAATCATTCGAATCTTTAAAAAAGTATTTTAAAGCGGTTCCAATGATCAAACGAAACAGCCATTTCACGGTTATCTCCTTTGTGACAGATTTTTGACAGGTAAACGAAATCGTTTTAAAAAAAGCGATTCGTCATTGATCTAATGAGTTTTGAATTTCAACCGAAAACGTCCCTTTCTTATTCTTACGCATGGTCCAACTTTTGGGCATCGGATTTTCAGCCAAAGAAATGAATGTTGATCTCAAAATATCAATGCTGTTTATATTTTTGTCAGTTTTCTGGTTTTTGTTTCGTGGTTTCGTCGAAAGAAAGGGGATATTTTGAAACTGCAGAAAAAAGAGAAAATAAGCAGAACAAATAAGGAAAATGCTCAACTTTCGAAGAATGTTGGACTATCAAATCCACATACAAAAAAAAGATGTATCGCATTGCAAAACTTCTGATCAACAAGGTGAGTTGATACATTTCGATTCGTGGAAACAAAAAATAAAAAGAGCGTTCATCCGTATTGTAATGTTGATTTGCTTTTGTTTTGATGCATTTGGGCTCGTTTTCTCTGCACATTCAACAGAAAAGTATGTGCATGCTATACACAAACATAATACTGAACGAAGATCATCCTACACATAAACATATTTTACACGTTTTTCTAACGAAGACGAATAAAATGCATCAACAACAATTAAAAAAAACTACACGAAGGAGCATCTCTAACGAGCATAAGGAACTGAGCTATAACACAACAACGAAGGCGGCAGTGATGATGAAGAAGAAAATGAAGCAAAGAAGAATATGTATACGGTGTCTGATGTGCAACAAGTTGAACAATTGCCTGCTATGTCTGTGTGTAAATGCGAATGCATGAAAAGATGATATTTTGTTCAAAGGAAAAGACGTTGAAAAAATGCACAAATATATATATTTTGGTGCCGTGTGCTCCCTTTTGTTGCATTTGTATTGAGTATGGTGTAAACGGTACGCCTGTGCTATTCTCAATCTCTCAAATGAAACATGTGAATGAATCTGTTGCGCCTTTATGGTTCACTCTTATGCCATACCAAGATACGTGTGTATGTGAACGAGAACCAACATTATGAAGAGCGAATGTGTTGCATGTGCAGCTGAACGAATGAGTAAAAATATCTCTCGTTGGACGCACACGAATGAAAAAAATCTCGATGAAATCAGCTTTGAGAAGTGAAAATATTGTGTTGTACATCGGCATCGATCGATAGACGTCAAAGAAGTAGATCGAACCCAAAACTGCCATAATAACAAAAAGATGGATGCTATTGTTGTTGGATGTATTTAAATCGTTGGTTTTTATGTGGGTTTTCATTGAAAAACTGCGATTTACTTTAAATTATTATAAATCAATAAAACGTACACTCAAAAAATTTGTGAATACACAAAAGTTATCGACTTATGTTGATATGAATACTAGTATGAATAACTCAATGAAAAAACCTACCTGTACAACTGGTTGCAACTCAACTTTCTTTGAGATTTAATCGAGAAATTTTTTCTTGGCAATTTCTCTTACTCGCTGGTTCTTTTTTTCTCTTTCTCCGTTGCCTCTTGCACTATGGTTTACAATTCTTCGAATCAATTTTGCATAATCTTCGGTAGAAATTTGTTATCGTTTAACCTTTCAGTGTTTATACTATATTTTCACTGTGAAAATATACATTATCTCAAACAAAACAAACAAGGATCGTTCATTTATACACCGGACAAATATAAATATATTTTTTTTTCGATGTTTTGTCTTTTAAATATTTAAATTTCATTTACAATTTTGATGGTGGCGCCTTTGGTTCTTTCATCGAATTATCTGCGATATTCATTTATTGTTTTTGACCTAATTGCACTAAATCATTTAAAACGTAGTGAATGTTCTGTTATTTTATTTACATTTCATTTTTAGATAAAAAAAAACACTGCTAATAACTTTGAGATATAAATAAAAACAGCAATCGCAAAAAATGCAACGAATAAAAAACAAGATTCCATGCGTTCCGATTCTGATCACTTCATTTTTTACGCGATCATTTTAAACCATACAGATGTTTCGAATAATTTTTCTATTGATAAAACAATATATCAACTCGTATTAATTGAAGCACAACTTAATTTCTCGAAACGATGGCAATTTATGGTCGATTGATTTGATTCAATAAATTTCGTTTTATTGAATTTGATGTGAATTGAAGAGAAATGATTGGCTTATTTGATGCCAAAAATGTGCGACGGCTACGCTGTGTGTATGTGCAAAATGAAACTCAAATGAACTGATTCACTGTGTTATTCAACTTAGACTGAAGCGAACGAAGCATGAGCAGGCAAACAAAACAAGAATTTTTTTCAGAATTTATGTCTTGTACACCGCACACGCATGAAATCACACAAGTGTAGATGTTTCAACTAAACGAATGGGATGTGGAGAGAGAAAGAGTAAGAAAACATACCGAATAACCACACATGTGCAAATGGATACATATATCCAGATGAATTTATGCTGCATTCACAAATACAAATACACATGCAACTAGATATACTCTTGACGTTTGTTTATGTTTTTCTAAATCGTTCGTTTTAGCAGTGTATTTCAGATCTCATTTACGCTCACACATGTGCAATGTATTTGGAATATTCAGAGGCTTTTTTTCTCTCAATTTATTCAATATTAAAAAAGAATTTTTTTCTTGAAAATGTTACTTATCCATTTCAATAGAATTTCACTTTTATTTTGTGTTAGCTTTTGACTTTATAAAAAAAAATATTTGTTAAGTAATTTTACTAAGAAATTGTACTCACGTATCCTCACATATCATATACATGTTGTGTATAGATGACATTTGTAAAGTTTGAAACGTGTAAAAAGCTTATCGAGGACACAAACCATACACTAAAAAACTAGCTTTTATTAAAAGTTCACATTTATCTGGAAAAGCATTTTATTAATTTTAATTTTCCAAAATGAAATTTATTTAAATTCATATATCTTTTACACTTCCTGGTGTATTTTCAAATTCACATTTCATTGATTATACATTTATTTGTGTTCGATACACATCGGTTGGCGTAAATTTTGTCAGTATATTCATATTTTTCTTCGGCAAATCAAAAGAATGCAACCTACGTATGCATTACGATCGCTTTTAATCACTTGGTTCGATCTTGACTTCAACCAATGGATAATGGATAATTTTGACCTTGTTATGCTTGAAATTTTCGGCGGCAGTTTGGGCAACTGTAAAAGAAATGTGAATAAAAAGTAATAATTTTTTCGATAATTTTATTTTCATATGAATTTCTGTAATTTATATGCAATAATCATTTGATTTTTTAAAATAAAAATGCATGCTTACACGATGTTGCGCATTCGGCAGTGCGTTGCACTTCAACCTTTGCCACTGAAAATGAAATAAATATTTTGAATTTGTACATAATACGTACATTTTTGAAACTCACTTGATTCTTTATGCCGGATTTGTGATGAGCATTTATTGTGGCTTGGACGAACAGAGTGTCCTTCGAATGTTCGTTTCTTCAATCTACGTCTTGGTGATTGTTCGTATTTGGTAGCATCATAAGGAACGATCCCCTTCGATGAGCGTTTCTTTTCACTGGGCGGTTTGGAAACAAAACCATCGCTTCCAACCAAAGACATGAGCTCTCTTGGTATTTTAAGAGAATTTTTATCCTTATGTTTCACAATTTGATTCACACGGTTGATAACTTTCGGTTGGGCCACTTTGGTAATTGTTGATATTGTATTGTGTGATTTTCCCGATGCTCGTGGCTGCAATTCAACGGAACCGTTATCAGATTGTTTTTTTGGCGCCATATTAATTGTGGTGGCGGTGGGAATTGTTTTTGTGGTGATCGTTGGACGAGCACTTTTATTATAATTTTTTTCGAACAATTTTATGAGTGTTTTTTGAGTGTCTACGACATTCTCCAATGTGGCGTTGGGATTAAAATCAGTCAAAATGGCCCAAATATTCCGCTCTAAAAAAATTTGATCTGATGTTTTTGGTTGCAGTACTTCACTCGTTTCTGAATGCCAATGTTTTGATGAACTGGGGCCCAAAAGAACCGGTGCACTATGATGCAAATGTAAATTCGATTGTAGGATTCCATTGTGAGGATGATGATGATAATGACGATTTAGATTTGACGCCATCGACATTGTTGTAAGAGATCTAAAATTATGATTGAAACAAAAAAACAGAGCTGTAAATTTCAGTCTGGTAGTGCGACGCACACACCAGTTGTATTTTGTACAATATGCGTCATAAGTCTACTGTGTGTGCGCAACACCAGATTGAAATTTACAGTTATGCAAAAGAAGAACTCAAATAAAACTCAGTATTAATTGTTTTAAATGTTGGGAAAGAGTAAGTCTCACAAAAACATTATAAACGGTTATAATGCAATATACTGATTTAATAATGAAAAAATTAACTTTCAAAATTGTTAAAATATCTTTTGAATCGAGCACAATAAATTTTATGCGGCAGACATAACCTAAAAAAAATTCTTTACCTTTTCTCACTTTTTTATTTTTCAACCAAATACAAATTTGTGTTGCACGACAATGTTTATGGTACTGTTTTTGTTTTTTTTTTTTATAAATTTGGATGTGGAACGATATTGAAAACAAATGAAAAACTTTACTTTGTAATCCGAAAGACACGCGTTTTAAGGCGCAAAATATCTGAGGTCTTTGCGTATCAGCAAACAAATTTGTAATGTTTTTAGTACATTCTAACGTTGAAAAATGTAACGTTTTGGCCCATTCTGGTGGTCATTTTCGTTTCAAATGGAACGGAGATTATATGCATAGTTTCCACGAATTCCAATGTAATGGATCCACTTGTTTCTTTCACTTCCAATAATATTTCATTTGACAACATAATGTGAACACAACCCAATACATTAAGTTTTATATTGAAAATCTAAATCTTACGCTCAAATAAAAAAATAAACAATTTATTCGGAAAGAAATAAATAAAACTCTGCAGAAGAACTCTTTTACTAGTCATTCATTACATTTATTTTTCTTTATTTGTGGAATTATTATTTTGAATTTTCGAAATGCAACTGACATCTTTCTGACATTTTTCTATCCGCGCGGTGTATATGTGTCAAACCAAATCCACTAGTTAGTATAAACAACTTTTGCACCAACCGATTTTGTTTACAATAAAACTTTGTTTTGTTTTCAACAGGATTTCTTGAGAATTATATGAGAGTGTTTGAATCGTGGTTTGGGCGATCAATTGGTTTTATTGTCATTTCAAAAACGATTTTGTGTGTTCGGAATGCTGTTCCCTGTGGAATGGATATATTCACAGTTGGTTTTGTGACTGTCTTTGTTTTAATTTCGAAATAACAGAGTGTTGATAAAATTAACTGTGAATATTCCAACAACATTTCGATCGGCAAAATATTTGATGTCACGTTGGAAATAAATTTCATCATTCGATTTAGAATACAGAGTCACTTTGTTGAGGTAAGAGGTGATATTTATAATGCGCTCTTCATTACTGTTTCATTTAATTTGTGATAGAAGTGTTTATATCTTATTGTGTTTGTGATCTATGCTATATTTGGTGTATTTTTTTCTTCGATTTTTGTACAATAGATCTGTCACGATGAGAAGAAAGAGAGCCAAGAATGGGCGCAGTACGTCGTTGAAGATGACTCTAAATCAAGTGCTGCGGGAAGAGTATCGTGCACCATTCATCGATCAGGTCACATACTGGTGCCTTTCGGCCACAATGATTACGACTCTGGCGTCATTACTGTTTTTGTTCAAAGCAAACAAAGCCTTTGACGATGAAAATGTTCGATTTTTTAAAGGTGAATCCGATGAATGCACGAATGATCAATTCAAGAAATACGTGAATGGTGTAATTGGTGAATGTTTCACCTCGGTATTACAAGAAAATTACCACAAATTACCGCTTGCATTTCGACGAACTGTGGAGCAAGCATGTCCTGATTTTCTTCGTCCAGAAAATTGGCCAGCTCGCGAGGGCATGGGGAACGCATTCAATCATCTCATCACTCAGTACATAACAAACGTGAAAAATAACATCAAAGTATGGGCATTCAGTCGCATCAAGAGATTTTTCACGCTAAAGCGCTACGAACTGAATTTGAATCGACAAGGAAATCTCATCACTGAATTGGATGTAATACGTGCGACGAAGATCGTAATGTTCCAGAGTAGAGTCGAGAGAAACGCGAACATCGATCTTCTATTAAACGAAGCAGCAGGCATTGGATTGCCAATCAATGTACACTTTCAGAATCTCATTCGTGATCGCTGGTTCCAAACCATTCCAATATTTATAAACATTCAGCGACAAATTTTCGATTTTCACGCGAAATATGAAATGTTGAAACAACACTGGTTCCAATATCGACGCGATCCGAACAACAATGTCATGCCGACCACTCCACTCCCGCCAAAAATAAAGAATTTTTTAGTAGTTCCAATCCACGATTTCGATATGAAACATATCCGCATCGATATCCATCTTTTTTATTTGATTGCGCGCAAATTTGGAGCATTGAAATTGGCAAAAGGAAAACGCGGTCAGCCAATAAACATTGAAAAAACTGAATACGATAGCAATCCAGCTATCTATTGGGATTTAATATTTGACCTGCCAAAAATTTCGAAACTTGGAAATGGTAAGGAATTCGATTTTGCTGTGGCAACTGATAGTGTGGCAGTTTCGTTATGTTTCGTGAAGCCTGAACGCAATAGACCAGAACTTGATAACAACACCTTCAAAGAGAAGTACAATAACTTTGAGTTTGATTATGTGCTTGGAATCGATCCAGGAGTTCGTACATGGAACGCCACCGTTCGCAAACACGTTCGATCCGGCAACGAGGTAAGAAACAATAAATTCATTCTTTATTTATCATTTGTTTACTTCTATGATTTTTTGTTCGTAAATCTCAGGAAAACATCACAATTGATGGTCCAAAATACCATTTCAAAGCGAAATATGGCAAACGCAAGCGTAAATCCGATCAATGGACTGAATTGTTGCAAAAACAACGGGAGCTCGACTATAAGCGCTATGCATTTTTTCCATCGCCGAAAGGACGTTCACATTGGATGTGTTACATTGCTTATTATGTGAAAATGATGAAACCAGCTATGGCGGTGTACACAACACGAAAGTTCATTCGACTCCGTCTCGATAAATACATCGAAGAGAATCGGGCCAGTGACAAAATCGCGGCATCACTGACGAAAAAAAAGTCGGCGCTCGTTTTTATTGGTGCAGCTCAAATAGCTCCAAACTCACCAATTGGTATTAAAAAGCGATTGCGATGCCCGGGATTACGACGACTATTGAACAGTTTCAAGAAGTTGGGAAATTGTATTGTACGATTGGTCGACGAATACAATACATCGCAAACTTGTGCAAAATGTTTCCGGCCATTCGATCGACGAACCAAAAGCGATCGATACAAAGTTTGTCAGCATTGTATTCCAAGTGAAGATGAGTCATCGCAATGGAATTTACCGAACGTCATTATCACCATGAAAAGCAACCGAGTGTACCAACAATTGCGTAAATATGCAGTTGATTTTGTTAATCGATTGAAAGCAGTCAACCCAGATCATATTCCAATGGATTCAGATGGTTTAGTGTCAAAACTTCAAGTATGTTTCAAAAACTGGCAACTAAACACTGGCATTTGGAAAGATGATCAAGCTCCATTTCAATTGAAAACTGTTTGGCACCGGGATATCGTTGCAGCCAAGAACATCATGTACAAAGGTGAAAAAATATCACTGAAATTAAAAATGTTTAAGAATGTTTTGGCTAACAATTTGTTGTTTACGATTTTGTTTTTAGGTCTTTGTACGGTGTTGGGATTGGACATTCATCCGCAACTATTGAGACCACAGAATCAAAAAGCTGCCGTACAAAATCAAGCAGCTGACGATGAGGATTCCAGTGACGATGAGGACTACGTTTATGTTCTCGATGTTTCCGATGACGACCAGTTTTAATTACATGTAGCATTAAGATTTCTTTTTAAATAATATTAATGTAACGTTTTGTTACTATGCTGGGCTTGAGTTTTGTGGCCTTGACCGAAGTACGGGCAGTTCGGTATATAAAATAACCCGTAGGTGAGTATCATTTATTGAACTGAACCGATAGTATATTGATGTTGATTCATACTTAGTAACTGAGTTTATTTTTTCTCTTTTTTCTTTCCATTGCGACGTTGAAAATGACTGAAACTACACTCAAATCCGACCCCAATATTGACCGTCAACATATGCCCGATAATGGATGAATTTGCCACAACAAATGTTTTTTGTAAACTTTTGTTTTCTATATATAGAGTCCTGTGATGTAAATGTAAGTGGTGATTGTTTTTCGCTGATCTTGTTGACAAGAGAGAGTAGACAATAACAACGACACCCTTTATTGCTCACATAGAAGATTGTTCATTACTTCGAGCTGTAAATAAAGATTCACAGACGATTTAATATATTGATTGTCAAAGCAATATCCGAGCTACTCAAAAAATTAATATCCCGATATTGGTCATAATACATTGAAATAAAAGTAAGACTCAATATAAACTTGAATCATAATGAATATAGAACTTTCGATTTGTATCAAACATTTTCATCGTTACAAATTGTTCAATTCTTTGAACAAAATATTTTTTATGTGAAACAAAAACCACATGTCTACGTTTAAAATTATAAAATATAAGGATTCCTAAAATTATAATAAATATATATTTATATATATAAATCATTGTTGACTAACAAGCCACTGATAAATCGGATGGCATTTCAAAGTTTGTGTTCGACAATCATTGTGAATTTGTTTGTTTTCGACCAATTCGTTCATTTTATTTTTCAAATCAATTACGATAAGAACTTGAAAAAAGAAAATGTATTGCATATTTAAACAAAATTAGTTTTATTAAACAAATTAGGTTTACAAATCATTTATATTTTTTATAAACTCATTTTGCATTAATACTGAACTATATTTGAGTATAAACATATCTTTATCCTATGTTGATTCATGTGAATCATCTTTTTTGAAATTATCCATTGAACTGGTCAATTGAATAAAAAATTATAATCCATCATCATCTTGATTGTTCATTCTTGAGTCCATAGAATCGGTGCATATTGATAATTCCGATGAATCATGCGCACCCAAAGTTTCGTTGCCAGTTGTTGTAGCGCTATCAAAATCAGTAAGTGCTGGTGAGGCCGGTAAGATGCTAGGTGCTTTTTCATTTCCATCAACTCGAGCTTCATTTTCCGGCGACGATTGCACTTGGCATTGTCGATAAATAGCTAGCCGTTGTTGTGTCACCTCTAAATGATGTTTCCTCCATTTTCTATATATAAAAAATTATTATTATTCGAAATACTGTCTGAATTATTACATTACTTACATGCGTCTATTCTGAAACCACACTTTTACCTAATGCACATAAAAAACAATAAGATCATTTTAAAACGTTAAATTATAAATAATTAAAATACAATTAGTTATTTGCAAACTAACTTGGGCCTCAGTCAATTGGAGAGTGTGCGCAAGATATAGCCGTTCTGGTCCGACCTTAATTAGAAATAAATATAAAAATAGTGAAAAAAATGAATTTGAAAATAAAGGCTTACACTCTCCAGCAAGTCACTTTCAAGTATCTTATTGAAACCTATACCATTTTTTGTGCTTAATTTGTGCGAATTTGTGCGAATTTGTGCATGCATTTTTAGAATTTGTGCATAAATGGCTAATGAGTTATTCCGATTTATATTTTGTGGTGAATTTCGGGTTTGGATGCAATTTAACATTTTTCTATGGCCAAAAAATCGGAAAAAATGTTGTGCCATTTTTTTGTGCATAATTTGTGCATGCCAAATATGCCTTCGGATCGGTCAAACACTGCAAAAAATGCATCAAAATCGATTTGACGTCAATTTCCCTACACAAATTCACCACCTTTTTTTTTTTAATTATTGGAAAAATAAAAAAAAACTTTACCATTAGCTACAAAATATTACCACTGAGAAATTTCAAGAAATTTAATCCGAATCGATTTTCGCTCATTGTGTGATTTTAGAGAATATTAGTGAAGTGGACCACTGAGCTACCCCTGCATGCACAAATTCGGTGCGAAGTGGATTTGTTATGCACAAAAAAATGGTAAAGAATTTTTTTTATTTTTCCAATTATTTAAAAAAAAGTGGTGAATTTGTGTGGGGAAATTGACGTCAAATCGATTTTGATGCATTTTTTGCAGTGTACGACCGATCCGAAGGCATATTTGGCATGCACAAATTATGCACAAAAAAATGGCACAAAATTTTTTCCGATTTTTTGCCCATAGAAAAATGTTGAATTGCATCCAAAACCGAAATTCACCACAAAATATAAAGCTGAATAACTCATCAGCCATTTATGCACAAATTCCAAAAATGCATGCACAAATTCGCACAAATTATGCACAAAAAAATGGTATAGGTTTTAATAAGATACTCGAATGTGACTTGCTGGAGAGTGTAAGCCGAAAATAAATGCATCAATTAAATATTACTAATGGACTTCAAAGTGGATAAAAAGCAACAATAACTATATATATACTCTATTTTCTCACCATATATTGTTGCCGCTCAAATTCAGCTTCTAATCGTTCCAATTGTTCTGGGGTAAAAATCGTTCGAACCCTTTTGTTTTTCATGGATGATTTCCCCTTTATTGCGTGTTCTATGTATAATAAAATGGTCGAAATGAGTAAATTTGACAATTAACCGTTGCAATTAAAATAAAAATCTTAAATGAAGCCATTAACCCTCTTAGGTATAGTAACGGTCTATTAGACCGAAAACTTAAAAAAAATATCATAAAATTGAAACGCGTCGACCGATTGCCATCAAATTTTCGCCTTTTTACGAGAATAATGGACAAATATTGAAATTAACATTTAAAATCCTGAAACTGTTCTGTAAAAAAACAAAATCCAGAAAGACGAAAATCCTAACTTGATCGTATAGTTACGGTCTCTTAGACCGTACATACAAAATGTATGGGAAACACATAATCAAGCATATTCACAAATTGACTTGGTGAAAATTTATGATATCCGTCTAATAAAAATGAAAAATTAAATTGCAAAACGAGAAGATAGGTTGAAATTCTCAAGAAAAATCAATATGAATCATTCTTGTTTATCGCGTACATCATATTATTATTTCAACAAAATGTCTGTCAGAGAAAAATCGATCTGTAGTCTACAATACCACGAAAGGCGCCATTCATACTCATGTCAACGTGGAACCAATCGATGGCCATTTGCATTCTTCATGAACCTCATCAACGTATGTGGTGTTGCAGCATTTGTTGTTTACAACACAAGTCACGATATCACGCATGAACAGTATGCATTTCAACGCAAGACATTTTTGATCGAATTGTATGAAGTTTTATTGTACGATCATATCGTACGGCGAACAGCACGCGGTATGAATGCATCTAATCAGTCGGCTTTCAAAGAAGTTCGTGAGCATTTGGTGGGTCGAGAGGAACAAGAAGCGCAAGTTACACCACGGCAATGACGTGCATGTCCAAGTTCAATCAATCGTAAAACCAAAACATGTTGCGACAAATGCAATAAAAATGTATGCGGCGAACACTAGAAAATCACTGTTTTGTGTGCAAAATGCGAAAAAAACGCTCTCATATAAATTATTCTGATGATTCAAATTAATTATTTTCTTGAAATCTTTTCAATTTTTAACTTTCAAACCTTTTTCAATGTTTTTATTTAAAAAAAAAATGCAAAAATTTGAAAAAATGTGTGATTTTGTTTTGGTTTTTGTTTGGTTTTCCTGTATTTTGTATGAACGGTCTAATAGACCGTAACTATACTATATTGTTTTTATTTCGAACTATACCTAGGAGGGTTAACTGGGTATAAATTAAATGCATAAGATTACCATTTTTGTTTCGTTGTTCCTTTCCGTGAAATGGCGGAAAATTTGGACTACTTTTTGAGTGAAATTGTTGCTGTAGACTTTGTAGTGCGGAAGTGGTGCCATTGTGATTGGCCATGCCTAAATTGTTATTATTTTTGTTATTTGCGTTATTTATAGGTTGATAGAAATGTGGTGGCGGTGCCGGATGTCCATGTGAACCTTGCAAATGATGATGATGGTGAGCAAAAGCCATTGATGGAATTCGGCTTTGAAGTACTTCCATATTACCATTGCCACTGAATGTTTTACTTTGCATTGGATATGTTTGATTATTATGAATTGATAGATTCATTGCGTTCAATTCTTTTTGTTTTGTATTTCCAGTATCAACATTATTGTTTGCTGCATTTTTCTTCTTCAATCCCAAAATCGATGCAATTGTAAATGATTTTCCGCCACTGGATGCTGTTAACCGTTCTAATTGTGTTTCATCGAAATCACATTCTGAATTGCTTGATTGGATTGTAGTATTACCATTTCGTATGCCCAACAAATTCGAAATGTAGTTCATGTTATACTTTGGATTTTGTAACATATTCTTTACCACTTCAAAAGAAAAAACTCGAGAGATATTCCAATGCGCTTTTTTTAAGAAAAGAGGTGACGGCTATTTTAAACATAAGAATTGAAACAAATTAATATATGCTAATTGTGTAATTTTTTAAAGAGAGAATTGTAAAATAAGTTAAGCACATCGCATGGGTTGCAAACAAAAGAAAATGGTGCGAAAAGGAAATGTGCAACTATTTTCGAAAGAAATTTAATCAACCTACTTTAGCCTTAAAAATGGCTTCATCTTATATTCAGTTCTCTCATTCAAAAATGGCATTTTGAATGAGAATGAATTGTTACATAAATTTACTCTAACAGGAAATCATTTGATACTGAAACAACAACAGTATATACCAACGGCCATTCTAATATGAAACGTGAATGTAAACTATCTTTTACTTCATTTGAAGTAATTGTTTTACCAGAGATGAAATAAATAAATAAACTTCATAGAAGTAGGTTTCGAATAAGGAAACGGTTGCCACATGAAAAATAAAACTATTGGGCGTTCGTTGTTCAACAATGGAAACACCGAGATATTCTTAGTTTTATTATAACTCAATACGATGCATTTACACCATCATTGATATCAGTAATGCTTCGACGCTCAAAAAATAGCCAAATTAGAAGTGAAATTCCACCAAAATACTATCAGTATCGGATTTCAAAAAAAATCATCAGAGTCTACTACATCACTAGTATGTCATCAATAAATTAGTGCATACGATACATTTCAAACTTAAAAATAAACAAAACGCATTTATTTCACATATCATTGCTTGATGCCATTTTCAAATCACTTTATTTGTTTGTTGGTTTGTTTTTTTAAACTATTTTTTTGACTACTTTGATGAAAATATCTAAAATAAGATCATTATAAAAATGTTCTAGAGTCATGGCCCAAATTAAATTTAAAACATAGTGCAATAAATAAATCTATTGAACATTTGTACTGGACATTGTACTTGTAACATATGCCGACGGTAATTTTTTTTGTGTTAACGTTTATTTTTTTAGCATATTCGTTGTAATGTGGGATTCCTAATTGGAAGTCCCAATTTTACCATTGAAAATATTCATTTAAAAAATCGAGTTATATCGATTACCTGACACACAAATTTTCGATAAACCAACGAGTATCGATAGTTCGCAATTTTCCCTCCAATCACAATAAAAGATTATTTATATAACATTCGCACACAATATTTCAAATATGGTTATTATCTCAGCTAATAAATAGCAAACACTTGGAATTCACTTTGAAAATCGATTCACAATCACAAAGTTGCTGAGATTACACTTGAATCGAGCAAATTACAAATCAAATAGCACAAATTTCGAGCGAATTTAAGTTATTTCAAATTGAATCTTAACACCTGCTTTTTTATAATTTTATGTCGTAAAATGCTATCGTTAATTTGTCAATCTCAAAAGTCAATAATTGAAGGATTCGTCTGTGATTTATGTTAAATGATCGGAATTAAAATGTGTTGTGTGTGCGGTCGCTGACAACAGTTAGCGTAATGACAATGTTTTCACAGTGCGACGGTGTGTATGCTATGAGTTGGATTTATTCCCGTTCAAATTGGATGCAGCATGGCATGGATGTTGTGCGCTATTGTGCGTGCTGAATGTGTGTGAGCGATAAGTACCTTCAATGGAATCGGCACATGAACCGTAATGATGCTCGATCTAAAAAAAATGGTCTATCGTTGCAAAAACGAGAGAAAAGCGTTGTTATAATAAAAACAACACAATGTAAAGAGGCAAACACCAACCACACGCTCACACAAACATGTCGAGCGTACGCACACACAGCTACAATTCAAAATCAAAACCAACCAAAAGTAAAAGCGACGTGCTCTCTCGACGGCAACAGCAACAGCAGCAGCCGAATGTTTCGTAACCGAACACACATATTTCAATCATCATTAGGCTAATACACCCTTGGCAAACAATTCTATTATAAAATGGAGATGTTATAAACATTATGAGGCATAGAGAAAGAGAGACGGAGAGGAGAAGGAGCGAGAGAGCGATAGATTTTCATAGATTTCACCACCACTTACATATATGTATAGCGAATAAAGCTTTTTAGCGTTACGTTGTATACATATGAAATTCCATTCTATATTATGTACCACCACTAATGATTCATGGAAGCCAATTACTTGTATATATTCGCGTCTATAAACATTGTACAGCAAATATTGCCTTTGCCTTGGGGGCGAAAAAATCTCCATTTTGTGCAGAGAGAAGGAGTATGCGTAACATTTTATTTTTGGGCATTCTATTCTCGAAATGTGAATGATGTGCGCACTTTTGTTTCATTTCGTTCACCATTGAATCGAAATGCTCCGAGAGTTATTTGTTGGCGATGACGACGATGATGATTGTCCACATTTTTACACAAAGAAACTTTGTAAATTATACTTTGGATCGCTTTCAATTTCAACAAATTAGATAAATTATTTGCCACAAAGTAATTGCCATTCGTATAGAACTTGAGACCATTAAATGGATGCTTGAAGAAGAAAATTGAAACAATTTATTGTGTTGTAAGGACATTTTAGTTATGATATTAATGCGACCACCATCGATTTTCCTCCCATTGGATTTGATTGTTGTACGGAAAATTCATCATGTGTCACCATGCACAAATTTGAAATTTCCATCATCGTTATCATCAAAGGGCAAAGAAATTTTTGTCGAGCGTCAATAAAAGCCAAAATGTGAGCACACACTCTGTACTCACAAAGTACAATGTGTGGTGGAAATATTTGATCAAAGCAAGTTAATGATTTAACTAAATTCATTAATTCATTGTTGCCAATGGAAAACCGTCAATGGAATGTGTAGAATTTTCTGGCAAATTTGTCTTTTGCTATCTCGATCGACTCATTAATGTGTCTCCTACTGTCGTCCAATAAATTGTTACGGGTGTAATTTGTATCACAAAGATTTATCTTGCTTTGTGCCGGTAAAAATGGTATCGAATGGAATGGAAACATTCATCGAAATTGAAATGGCAAACACAAAATTGCTTACATAAAAGAAAAAAAATATAATCCAAAGGCTGGTTATATTTATTTATTCATTTACTGGGCGGTAATAATTGCTACACTCATACACGCTCAATTTAGCACATCACTTGCGTTGATTTTGTGCCAATTTAAATCGACCAAATATGAAGCCAACAAAATATTTACGAAATAAAAAAAACGGAACAAACATTTTGAATATAAACACATCAACATGTGCTTGATGGGTTTTTGTGGATAAGATAACCACTCGCACACATGGAAAAAATTGCCCCACTCATACATCGATCTCATCACATAGATGGTAATTCGCAATAAACACAAACCAACAATAATCTGTTGTATGAAAAAAATCATCCCTAAAAATATTTCAAGCACCGCCTTTTTTATGGAATCGATGTGTACGTGCCTGTATGTATTTGTGTATCAACGATATATGCTTTACCATTTTCCCCACCAAAACGTGACATACACACAAAAACGTCGCTATTTGAGTGCGCACTGTTCGTATTCGCGTTTGTATTGAGTACAGTTCGTTTGCAAACATTGCTGTATTACGAAAATGGTATTAAAAATACTAACCATCACCGAATATGAAGAGAGATAGCCTCTTCAACCTTTGTTTCATGTAAGTGTATATACAATTGTACAGCTAATGTGTTCTGATGATACATGTGTATGCCAACATCTTTATCATTTATAAACATTTTATGAATGTTCTCCGGTTCCTCTTGTCATCTTTTTTTTTGTATTTTCACTTCAACAACAATACATTGCAACGATATACAAGAAGTAGTGAAATGGAATTAAGTGAAATTCTTTCTTTACTAAATCGCACAGCCAAAGTAATCGCACAGCCAGCATTTAAAATCGATTGTCAATGCGAATTGAGAAACACTCCAACATCTGAATGAACTATTTAATTGATCTGAGAATTTCGATAGTCTGTTATATTTCGAAGAGGAAACATCTCTTTCAAATGAATTAAAACAACTGTGAGGTTTTTATATATGAACATTGAACAGTAAATGGCATATATACAGAGCAGGTTGATTTCCATTTACACAGCATCGTCCTAATTTTCTATACAAACTATTTTATGGTTTTAATTTTGGTTGGGTAGAATTGGCTTGAGAGATACTCAAATCATATTGAAAATGTTATCGTTTATTTAAACATTCGGAACGTTTTAATTAAACATGATTTTCATTTCATTCTAGCATATCAAGCCATTGTCAGCGTGTGTACTGTGCACACTCTATATATGTTAAGTATCTATAGCAATAGATGCAACTCGCTATAACTGCTAATAAATAAATGCGATTTGATTATTTCCATAACAACAACGGGCCAGCATTCATTGTGGTCGCCTGGTCTGTTCTGGACAGAGAAGAGAGTATTTAATTTAATGAACTTTATCCGTTTAGCGGCATTTGTCACATCACTCTCTCATTATTTAAACATTTTGAATTTGCAGCAGACACGCAATCCTGCAAATTTTATGAAATTTATCTATCAGTTTTTTGTATTTATATTATAATTTATAACATTGATTTCTTTGTATCTACTCCTCTTTGATACACTGTACAGTGTACAAAAATATAATTAAAAAAATACTTCAATTTCATCATCTGGAGCATTTTTGGCTTTGACTTCGTGTTGGTTGAATTTTGTTTATATTTCATGGAATTTAATTGATACAAATGAATCGAAATTAATTATATTTGATTGAAATTAATAATATTAAATCGTTGAAAACAGGGAAAAAATCAATTATCCACGGACTGATGCCAAAAAAACCCTTAATGTTCTCTTTCGAAATCATTCATTGCATATTGTGGATATCGGAAATATTATATCAATAATCGATTCATGAACAATAAATATAAATTCTATACATATATTGTTGTACAATATGCACTTTACATTTGAAAAGAACTCACATATTACTCACCCAGCAAAATGTCCAAAACGAATCCAAACAAATTATCTTATTATCGAAAATTATATTTATAAGAAGCCTAACCAGCTTATTTATTCACAGCTCTGGGGAAATTGTTGACCTAGAAAAATATTTTTTCGGCAAAAAATTAAATTGTGTAAATACTGAAAAATTTAACATCGAAACAAAATTACAAATAACTTGTTTACTTGATTATGAAAGTACAATAAAACTAACTTACTATATTGAAAATATTCTTGCATGGCATGTTCAGTTTTTTCCCTATCCAAATGGTAGCATGAATGAATTGGCTTCGATGGCTCGATGACTCGATGACTTTGAATGAAACGAATGAACGAACAATTTGGTTAACGCAATGAATGCCATCAAATTATTTCCGCTTAATAAGTCAAAGCGAAATCATATTAAATTTTGTTGTTAAGTTGTTATTAAATCTTTTAAATTCAATTGAAACGATTCAAAAACATGGTTCATACGAAAATTCGTTTGGATATGGGTGCAATATTGTATTTTTTCTCTTCTTTTTTTTCATGCAGATAGTCCAATGATAGGGTCATTGTCGTACAAGTGTCTTTTGAAAATTTGTCATTATTGCGTTCTGCTCTTTGATTTACAACGGCAAAACTCGTACAATCTGTTTGTAGAACACGTGCAACGCATTCCATTTATCATTTTATCAGCATCAAGTGAAATCAAACGTTGTTGTCTACGTGCGGTATTTATTAGGGGCACGATTAAAGGGAGAACCGAAATACAAATGAAAATGTAACCAATATGAAGGCAACTAGTTGCTATTTAGTTGATCGCATTTCCGTATTGGTGGTCTCATTACTGTATCTCTCTCTCCCTCATTCTCTCTATGTGTGCTTTGTCGTGAATGTGCATTTTTGCTGGTGTACAGTCAAACATTCTCTCTTCGATCAAACCGCACTTCAGCTTAGGGTGGATACAAATGAGTCGTTGAGGGTACACGTTGTTTTGGCCGTACTGTTTTCATTCATAACAAAAGACATCTGCTCCGTCACCATCAACCTTAACGAGAAATATCTATTTTTACGCTATTTAAAAGTCATAAATTCATTTTGTTATTGGATGAATCAAAATTAAAGCGTATCTGATGTATGAATGGAAAATCCACTTGCAATATTTGCGCGGTTGTTGAATTTGGGTGTCAAAGCGTGTAATATTCAACAAATAATAACCAAATATTTATCTTTTTTTATTAATTATAAACAATAAATGAGCAATAATTTTGATGCGCTGATGAGCCAAACATGATTCGCTTTCAAATACTCACCCTCGTGATATTCGGGTCGTTTTTTTATTCAATTAGCATCGCATGACAATGGTTGCCGTGACAAAAACCAACAAAATGTAATTAAAGTGTGAACAAGCCGCTAAATGAATAGGAAATCGCCAAGATCATAGGGGAAATTATTTAAATTTATTTTGTCATCCATTTCTGTCATTTAATCGGAATCATATCTAGTCAGTATTAGTTTGGTAGTGTGCATATACTTGAACGGAACCCCTATCGTTGCAATTACAGGGATAATGATGATCAAATTGGGTTTTGAACAAGTTTAAGTTTAAAATTACTTTTTTTTATTTATTCCGCTTAAAGTGATATGGAAATTTGATGAATGAATGTTAATATTATGCTTCGTGCTCTACTTGAAAACAAGTTAAATGACATAATAAACTTTGTTTCAAATTGCACCGAAATTAACACCATTTTCATCTAAGCAATACATTGTAGCAGCATCAAGAGTCATCGTAACCATATTCTCTCTCGAGTTAATATTCGCAATCTAATGAATTTGCAATTAGGTTGCTACTTGCTGAACTTATTAATTAATTTTATCAAAATATGGATATAAAAGCGAAGAAGATACTTGAAGATGGTTAATTGAATGAGTAATGTATAGTTTTTGTTTTAAAAATGAACTAATTCTTGCAATTTTTTTTTACAGGGAAGACAAAAAACTATTTTACAATGATAGAAACAGTTATGTTGAGCTGATGTTAAAAATATTTTTTAAATCCAACTCGTTTATACATTGATTACAAGAACAAGCATTACTTTCGAGTAAATTGGCACTGAATTTACAGAGATTACAAATGTCGTCATTGAAAGTTCAAAATAAAGTGAATGAATGTTTACTATTTTACTATAATGTGTTTTTGTTTGCAGCGATGTATTTCAATGACATATTTCAATTTCATTGATAGGGTTAGACTCAAGTGGATTGATATTTAAATAGAAAAGTACAGACAATATATTGAACTCACTGGTCAACTGAGCTGACAGTACGTTAGCCAGCTAAATGCGCTAAAACAATAGAAGTTATTGTTATAATGATCAATCACTTTTATTAAAACAATAGAAGTGATTCATCATTATAACAATAACATTTATTGTTTTAGCCCATTTATCTGGCTAACGTACTGTCAGCTCAGTTGACCAGTTAGTTCAATATATTGTCTGGAAAAGTACTTATATTGAAATAAATATTTTTCTTCCTCCTGTGGCTAAAGGTAACCGAAAAAGAGACACAAATACTATTATTGATCTGAATGTACTATACTATATTGTATACTAAAACTCTTTTGCGACTCAACTCAAACCACTTGTTATTGAGATTAACATACGTTGATTTTAATTGATATTGATTCCAAGATAAGTTAATTGTTATAAAAAGGAGGCCAATCTCATTGGAAATAAACAGTAAACTTGAGAGTGCAATAATAAATAGTAAGCAATAGAAATGCGATCAATTGAAATAGGACTTGCGGTTATATTTCTTTTTTTATACAAAGTCGATGCAACATTGCCAAAATGTGCGGAGTTTGATCAGAGTGGCATGATTGCACGGGAATTAGAAAAAGATTCAAAAGCTCTTCCATTCCAGGATAAATTGGAACAATTGTTCAATGCCTTCGAAAAAAATGACACTGCAAGCGTGGAATCAATTTATAAATCATTGGAAACCATCAGAGTCGATGATGATGATGATGTCCGAGAAAAGTATACTGAGAATCTAATCAAATCTGTTGTAAGTGTTTTCCATTTCCTTTATATTTTGATTTGAAATTGAAATTTATATTTCATTTGAGAATTTTTTCAAAGCCTGATCGTATTAAATCGCATGGATATCCAGCCGAAGTACATCAGTTAGTAACGGAAGATGGGTACAAATTGGATTTGTATCGAATACCTTATGGAGTTAAATCACCAAAAACCAACAGATCCAGACCGGCCATAATTTTGGTGCATGGATTCGGTGAATGTTCAAATGGATGGATTGTATTAGGGCCTGAAAATTCTTTGGGTTTGTAAAAATATTGATTGACTTGGTGATAAGAATAAAAAATTGTCTTTTCAATTTTCACCAGCCTATTTGCTGGCTGATAACGACTACGATGTATGGATTTTTGGAGCCCGCGGAACGGAGCAATCGCGCGGCCATGTAAGCTTAAACTCCAAACAACGCGAGTACTGGGATTTTTCATGGCATGAGATTGCCATTTACGATTTAACCGCTTGTATTGACTATATTTTGAGTGAAACTAAAATGAAAAGACTTAACTACGTAGGGTTTTCACAGGTAAATGCAACTCAACCATTTTTATTAAGAATGAAACGCACAGACTGCACCGATTGTGACAATGACGCCCTATATTTACTAGAGTGGAACATTTTCGGCATAATTTTGGGGCCAGTTGGAAAAACATGTCTTATGTTCTCCTGTCGATATAAGTCAATGTCTTATATCAAATAGAAAGTTGACAATTCTTTAAAATCTTGAATCTGGAGACCATAAGACATGCTTTCCGGAAAGTGACCATCGAGATATGACACCAAATTTGAAAAATAGTTCCACCTTAATATTCAAGTATTCAAACTAAATATGATCGTAATCCGAAAAACAGGGAACGACCGTTCTTCTTGTATTAGCATCATTGCGACCTGAGTACAATGACAAAATTATCGAAGCAAATTTATTAGGTCCTGTTGCGTACTTGAAAGGAAATCGTAACTCATTGTTTAACGCCATTGCACATTATTACAAACCACTGAAACGAATATTTCAAATCTTGCGCATCTTTAAGATCACCATAGACAATAAATTTCTGGTGAAAATTACGGAAATCGCTTGCAAAAGAACCGCACATTCAACTCCATTTGCCTGCAAACTTGTATTATCCATATTCGGCTCGACCCAAATTAATTGCGTAAGTTGTGCAAAAAAGTGAAAAACTTCATTTTAATCACGCTAGCTTAAAAATTCCATTTTAAATTGCAGACGAGCCTACCAGCCATTTTCATTAATACTCCAGCTGGTGTGTCTGTGCGACAAGGAATTCATTATATTCAGTTGATACGTGATGGTGGTTTTCGCCAATTTGACTATGAAGATAAAAAAATTAACCAGAAAATTTACGGGAGTATCACTCCACCTGACTATAATTTGACACGAATTACAGTACCTATTAACATTTTTCATTCAAAAGATGACACAACAGCTTCATTTGAAAATGTTATTCAACTGAAATCAGTGCTACCGAATCTTAAATCCACATACCTCGTTCCAGTCGCAGATTTTATACACGTCGATTTCACATATAGCCGATACGTTCGCAAAATACTAAACGGCCGACTCATTGAAACAATTAACAGCGCCAATCGAAAGTGATAACACGTTGTTATTTTGCGTTAGATGATTTCAATAATTATTAATTGACATTTTTTCGTTAAGTACAAATAGATGACAAATAACTTTGAAAAAAAAATTAAAATATTAATTTGCTTTGCTAAATGATTCGAAATAGTCTAAGCTTCTTTAATCTGCTATAATCGAAATGTAATTATAGCATGAATCGTGCTACCAAAATAAATAAATTCTCAAGCTTATTATTACGAGTTGCGCATTAATTACTAAATTTCATCCATTCAACAAGCCGATGGCAATTTTGAATCACGTTTTGAATGATTAAATTTATTAAAAAAGTAAATACCGTATCAATTGAAATTGAACACCTGGCAGATGGCGGACAAACAAGTGTAGTATATAGTCAGTGATATGATTATCGATTGATAAAGATAGCACTGACTAAATACTATAAAAAGGTGATATGGATTGAACAATTAAGCAGTTCAATCAGCTTTAATTACTCAATAAAGCAAATTTTCAACTTAGAGGAGAATGCAAGGTGGTAAAGTTGTTTTTGTGTTTCTAAGCCTGGTTTTGTGCGGTGTACACGGAACCTTACACGAATGCGGAGAATTTAATACGCAACGCACAAAATTTGAGGATTATTTCAATGTTTTCGAAAATTCTAATAATCAGAACATTAATGAAGTGTTCAAATTAATGGAAAATATATCAAACTATAACGCTAAGCACACATTTTTATCAGACGCACCCATAAAATATGTGGTAAGTGTTTGATATGAGTTAATTCATCTTTAAACTAAATTATTCTTCAAATTAAGCCTGACCGTATTAAAGCCGAAGGATATCCAGTTGAAGTTCATGAAATTTTCACAGATGATGGTTATATACTGGGTAATTCAAATATTCCGATAAATTTAATAAAAATTAAGTGTTTGAAATTATATGTATTTTTTATTATTTTATTTTAAACACTAGAAATGCATCGTATTCCGCATGGAAACCTAGCGCAAACTGATCAAACCAGACGGCCTCCCGTTCTCTTAGTGCACGCTTTTTTGCAATCGTCATCGGATTGGACCATTTTAGGCGCAAAAAATTCATTAGGCAAGATGGTTTATTAGATAGTTTTAAGCTTTATAATTAACAAACCTTTTTTTAAATGCAGCCTATCTTCTTGCCGATACGAATTACGATTGTTGGATGTTAAATGTGAGAGGCACTGAAGTTTCACAACGACACACACGTTACAATCCAAATGGACGAGGAGAAAAAGAATACTGGAATTTTTCATGGCACGAGATGGGCATGTACGACGTAGCCGCGGCCATCGATTACATTCTTAATGAAACGAAATTCGAGAAATTGAACTATATTGGATATTCGCAAGGTGAAACCATAATCATCTTTTTTCATTCATAATTGTCATTCCAAAATTTCATTGCATAGGTTCAATTGCATTCCTTATTTTGACATCAATGAAGCCCGAGTACAATAATAAGATAATCGAGGGAAATTTGGTGGCGCCTGCCTCATACTTGAAAGGCACAACCAACCTTTTTTATCAATCATTCGCAAAATCTTATCGATCGATAAAGTTAATGGCTCGATTCAAGCATAAATTGATTTTTAACAACGAGGCATTTCTGAAAATTGGTCTAACAGCTTGTAAAAATATTGTTAACTCAACACCAAAACAATGTATGCTCATTTTAAATGTATTAAACTCGAATCAAGTTAATTGTGTAAGTGAATCCATGTGATATTTTCATTTTTCAATTCACTCTTTTTTTTTTTATAAAACAATCTATTTTGCTTCAGTCGACTTTGCCATTGATTTTAGTGGGTACACCCTCTGGAGCTTTGTCGATGCGACTAAGTTTGCATTATCTACAATCAATCCGCAATGGCGGATTCCGACAATTTGATTATGAAAACAAGCGAATGAATGAAAAAGTCTATGGAAGAGATACTCCACCCGAATATGATTTAGCAAAAATCACAGCACCCATAAATATTTTTCATTCCAAAGACGATGATACATCCATCTATTCGAATGTTATTCAGCTACAATCTCAATTACCAAATGTTAAATCAAGATATGTAGTTCCCATCGTTGATTTTGGACATGTTGATTTCTTATACAGTCGATATGCACGGAATGGGCTGTATAATAAACTTATTAGCACAATCAACAAAGCTAACTGGAATAATTAAAAACAAGGAATGGTGATTTTCATATTTATATTAAGTGAAAGAGTCTTCTTTTTAAAACAGCAAAAAGATTACATTTTAAAAAATTTGTTGCTTTTGAAAAATATTTTATATGTAAATCTAATAAAATTCAAATCAAAGCATTTTTGATAGGTGCCTTTTTTCCTTTCAGAAGCGATATAATTTCTGAAATATATGGTGGTATTGTGTGATTTATATTCAGCCAATTTTTTGTTTGTTTCTTGTTTTGAGTAAAAATATTTTAAAACTATTTCGTCGCTTTACGTTTGTGGATTTCTGGAAAAATAACGAGTGTGCTGAAATGAAGACAACAACAAACAAATATGAGCAGGAGGAAAATAATTATGGGGAAAAGCAAATGAGAGCGGTTCATATTCACTTTATGCAATAATATTGTACAAAGCCATATCCGCAATACATAGTAACAGATCATATACTGAGCATAGATATATATCCGGGATATTTTGTGAGTATCTGATATTTATCGCAGCCAGACATTATAATGGAGTGAAAACAATAGAAGTGATTGTTATAGGTCTAAGTATAAAACCATTTACATTACTACATTCACTATAACAATAACCTATTGTTTTTACTCTATTTTAAAGTCTGACTCCAATGAATATCGGATACTGACAAAATATCCAGGATATATAACTATGCTTAGTATATGCTCTGCATAGTAACAATATTGAGGCGACGGATAAGCAGGGACGATGGTTGATAAAATGCGAGTCGAAAAAAATAACGAAAATGTTCTCCCTTTTCAAACCAATTCATTGTATGGTTTTTGAACCAAAAAAAGTGAACGCATATTTTCCGAGCCTGTGATGATTCGGTTTTTTTCTCCTACTGTTGTTATTGCTTTGTTTGCCTTTTATCCGCATTTTTATTACTTTTAACATCAATCACTCTCAAACAAACTCTTGAACCTTTTCACTTTTAAAAGCATCATATGCTCCGCTCATCGAGCAAAATAGAGGTTGAGACTGAGGAAATACGTTCGCCAATAATGTACATTCGTGTGCATAATTACCTCTGCACAAAATGAGCGTTTGATTGTGCTTAAAAGCGTTTACACTTTACATTTATAATAACGTTGTTTGTGTGATGTGTTGAAGAAAAATGTGTCATTCTTCAATAAGCAAGTGATATTGTGCTTATCTAAAAATTATATCAATTTTTCATGTACAAATCCACAAAGCCATACTACTATGAAGAAGCGCAAATAACAACCATAAGAATGTATTTAATATATTAAATATGTTTCCAATGAAATAAGTGCTTTATATATAAATAAGGGGGAGCATGCAATCACACAAGGTCGTAAACAAATTGTTTGAAGCGCTTATTGTCTTACCGCTTGCCATAGACATTATCTTCTATTAAACGTGTATAGACAACATAAAAGGCATTCCATCGTCGACTTAATATCGCAACCTACCAACAACAAGAGAATAAAAAAACATCAACCGATTTTACCCTCGTTGAATGTTTTCTTCCACCACCCGATTTCATGATGCTATTTAAATTGTCCGTAAATCAGTGAGCTAGCTATTTTCGTTTATTCGTCGACGTCATTGCCGCCGCTTGCCTCTTCACACACAACGTTGTATTTATTCGCAAGACAAACACATAATTGCCAGCATATTATTAGATAAACTTTATAGAATACGTTGTATAAAGTTGTATCCAAATATTTCTCGAATTTATTCACGTTGTTTTTATAGCCTTTATTAGCTTTTTTCCATCAATTTCATTTGGTTCTCTCATTTAAAGACCAACACACGGCATTCATTATATTCAACAACACAATTTCTATTAAAATCTGTTGAAAACGATTCCTTTATTTAAATTTCATGTAGATTTTCGCATTTTCAAACAAGGGGCTTGGACAATACTGTGTGGGTTTTTTGGAATTTTATGGCAGTCAACGTGAC